CCCCAAGGAGGAGATTCAAGAGAGGACTTGCATCAGATGGAGGGGAGCGTGGCGAGGGATAAAAGACTCCAAATACGGTACAGTGTATACTGCTTGGGTGATGGGTGCACCAGGATCTCACGAATCACCATAAAGAACTTACTCGCATAACCAAATACTACCTGTGCCACAATAACTTACCAAAAAATAAAACAATTTTTAAAAAGAAACAAAAATGCACATTTCTTGGTTCTACCTCAGAAGTACTAAATCAAAATCTCCAGAAACTAAGCCTGATATTCTGGTGGTGGTGGTGGTGGTGGTGTTTTTGAGATGGAGTCTCGCTCTGTCGCCCAGGCTGGAGTACAGTGGCGCAGTCTTGGCTCACTGCAAGCTCTGCCTCCCGGGTTCACGCCATTCTCCTGCCTCAGCTTCTCGAGTAGCTGGGACTACAGGCGCCCGCCACCACACCCGGTTATTTTTTGTATCTTTGGTAGAGACGGGGTTTCACCGTGTTAGCCAGGATGGTCTCTATCTGCCAATCCCGTGATCTGCCTGCCTCTGCCTCCAAACGTGCTGGGATTACAGGCCTGAGCCACCGCGCCTAGCCAATATTCTGCATTTTAACAGAATCCCCAGGCAATTAACAGAATCAAGCTGATTGAGGAAACTCAGCTGTGGGCGCACGCACTGCTCTGCAAGCACTAACCACCCTTGCCATGCTGACTTCGCTGAGGAAGCCCCTGTCCCCCACAAGAACTCAGAGAGCTGTCGATGCCCTTGAGAGGGAGGAGGGCACTCAGGAGAAACACACCTCAGAGGTGGGAGACTTGGCTCTGCCACAATTTGCTGCAGAACCTTGGGTTCATAATTGACATCCTTGTGTCTGTTTCCTCCTTTATGGGACAGAGCCAAGGTTTCCTACACTTGCTGGCTCACTTCATTAATGGAGCCTCCAGGGAGTTGCTGAACGTTATAGCATATTTAGGAAAGTATATGACTCTCAGTGGTCTGCTGAAGCCAGCTTATCATGGCTAGCAAGAGCTGATTGGCAAAATTTTAGAAACCTTTTGAGTCAGTTATTAAGGCTTTGGTGGTAGCTTAAAATCGGCCATGGTGGGAGTATTTACGCCACAGAAATTGGCAAATATTACAAATTAGGGCTCTTTGTAAACTACAGAGCCTATTGTTAGCCATTTGCCAGCACACCACTGAATACACAGAAGGGTCAGGCTCTTTTACATCAAAGGACGATATGCAAGTGGAAGGCCTGGAGAAAGCGAGTTACAGTATTCCTTCCCCTCGCTGTTCGGTCATGGCAGCAACAGGACTCAAGGCTCAGCCCCTCCTCCAAGGTTCCTCATAGTTACCGCTAACAGCGAGGCCCTTGTAGACATATTGGACTGGAAGCCCAGCAGAGTCTAAAGCCCTGAGGGGAGCCAGAGGCCTAGAGAAACACCAGCTGCTACTTGACCTGCTCTTGTATACACCAAGGAGAGGATTCAAGAGAGAACTTGCATCACATGAAGGGAACTAGGTTGTTGTAGCCTCCCAAGGAGCGGGTAGCAGGATCTTAATTTGACCTTATCAAATTTTTCCCTTTTGAGAAAGAAGCCACCTTTGTCATACCTCATGGTGTCAAGGCCAAGTCCTGCACAGTTTACCTTCATCTCAGAACTCACAGCTGACTGTAATCTGCCCTTTTGGGAATACAAATCTTATCACTCTACAACAAGTTGCACAAGAGGCAGATTCGGGCAGTGCTGGCGCATAGGAGCAGGGTAAACACACAGGAGGAGCATCAGGAAGCCTTGCCCAATCCCTTCTAGCCCAGCATGTGTCCTTCTTTCCTTAATCCCAGGCCTTGAGGTGCACAACAAGGGTTAAGGAGGCTCCAGGTTCCCTGGAAACTGACAAGACAAAAAATGTTAAGCCATAGGTAGATCCAGCTTATACCTTAGATCCCTGAGCCTGGCCAGGATTAGAAGGGAAGGAAGCCTTCCCCTCTTACAGGAAAGGAGGCCTTCATGACCCATGAGGCAGTCAGTTAACAGTTTCTTATTACTTTCTTTATACAAGGACCTATGGAGAATATCAAGGTTGTAACAAGATTTGATCCTGAAGTAACTTAAATGATATGGGGCTCTCTCTCCTCAGCCACAAGGCAAATTCAGTCATGAGGCAAGACAGCTGCATGCAGGAGGGCATTGTAATTGATTTGCATAGAAGTGCTAAGAGTTCATAGTTAGTTAGAAGTCTCTGTGTAGGATGGAAAGAACCAGGAAGGTTGCTGGTTGAGTTCATCTGAGATTAATGGATGGCAAGATTGAGTTGGCCAGGGAGGGAGAAGGAATGATTAATTGAACAAAGACACCAGTCTCTGACTATTGAAGAGTACTCATCACGAGGCCAGCTGGGCTGCAGCTGTGAGTGAGTGTCAGGGATCAATGGGAGGTCAGATCAGCAACGTAAGCTGAGGCCATGTTGGAGAATGCTGAGCTTGGTTTATGGGTGAAAGAGGAGCCATCAACAGTGTATTCATTTTCTATTGCTGTGGAACAAATTATCACATATTTAGAGGCTTGAACTGTACCCATTTTTATTTTGCAGAGTCTGTAAGTCAGAACCCTGTACACAGTGTGGGTAGATTCTCTTCTCAGGATCTCGCAGGGCTGAACTCAAGGTGTAGACTGGGTTGTGTTCTCATCTGGAGCCTGAGGTCCTCATCCACACTCATTCAGGTTGTTAGGAGTATTCAGTTCCTTGCAGTTGCAGGACCGAGGTCCCTACTTTCTAGCTGGCTGTCAACCAGTGCTGTTCTCAGCTCCTGTAAACCTTTTGCCATCTCCTTAAAAAATGACCCTCTCCAAAACATAGCAGTTTGCTCCTTCAAGGCCAAGAGGATAATTTCTCAGTCCCCTTTAAGGGCTCACCTAATTAGGTCAGGCTCACTCAAGATAATCTCCCTTTTGATTATCTCAACCTCAACTGATCAGTAATCTAATCACAGGAGTGATATTACATTATAATCACAGGTTCAGCCTACACTCAACGGAGGGGACTATACAAGGCAGAAATCTTGGGGCCATCCTAGAGTACTGCCTGTCTCAGATAAGTTTCAGCTGGGGAGATAGGGCGACATGATGAAATTTATTTTTGGAACCTGGCAGCAGGAGACCAACGAGGAGGCTGTAGCCATCAGAGAAATCAGGTAGCAGGAAAGGGATAGGTGGATAAATAAATGGGGAAGATATCTCAATGGATAAATTTACAGGACCTGGAATGTTCCTTCCCCATCTGACCTCATGGCTGGCTGCCTCTTGTACCACTCACTTCCCTGGCCACTCTGTGTTAGTTTTACTTCCTCCCTGGTTCTCTAACACATCACCCAGCGTATTTCTTTCATGGTACTCTTCATTTTATATTAACATATTTGTTTCCTTTTTTATTGTTCATTCACTCCACTTAACGCTAAGCTCAAAGAGAACAGGGACAATGTGCCTTTTGCACACCTCTGAATATCTGGAATGGGGCCTGGCATATAGTTGGGACTCAATAAATATTGAATAAAGTTTAAATAAATAAGTGACCAAGGCTGAGCACGGGGTCTCACGCCTATAAGCCTGGCACTTTGGGAGGCTGAGGCGGGTAGATTGCCTGAGCTCAGGAGTTCGAAACCAGCCTGGGCAGCATGGTGAAACCCCATCTCTGCTAAAATACAAAACATTAGCCAGGCATGGTGGCACGCGCCTGTAGTCCCAGCTACTCGAGAGGCTGAGGCAGGAGAATTGCTTGAACCTGGGAGCCAGAGGTTGCAGTGAGCTGAGATCATGCCACTGCACTCCAGCCTGGGTGATAGAATGAGATTCCATCTCTAAATAAATAAATAAATAAGCAAGCAAATTATATGAAAGGGTCCAGGGAGAGTCAAAAGGTCTGAGTACTAGGTCTGGGTGTCTTGAAGAAAGGCAGAAAGTGCAACCAGATGGAGAGGCGTGGGGAGTTGGGGAGATCTGTTTTAGACATCTTGAGTTTGAGATGACTGTGGAACAGTTGTCCAGCTAAGTCCTACGGGCAGCTGGAAATGCTGATGAAGAATTGTCATACAAAAGAAACCACAACAATGTCCAACAATAGTAAGGAACTGGACTTTGGTTATGTAAAAGAATGAAAACTGGATTTTAAAATAAGCCTCCATTGGACATTTCTCATTTCCATTTTTAAAACATCTACTACTTAAAGGGGCTGTCACAATGAAGGCTATAATTTATATTAGGACACAAGCAGGGGGTAAACATCCTCTTTAGGTATGTTCTTTCATTGTCTGAAAACCTGCAGGAGACGGTAAAGGCACACAGACCAGCACCCAGAACGTTCAGAGTGAAGAGTGTGTGACGGTAAGGCCGGTTATGCTGGGCGATCAGGCAGAACCGGTAAAGAAGCTCTCCAGCAATCCAGTGGTGCTGTGTTAACTTTTTTATTCTTCCCTTTTTCTGTTCACCTCCCTCAATAAGTTCTTCATTTATCTTATCTCAACCCTTCTGCTATTTTTGACCTTTCTGCTTTTCTCTCTTCCTCTAACTAAATTGTATTTCTCATGCCATATGTATCAACCTGATTATTTCTCTACTAACTTCTTTCATCTGGTCTCTTGAAAAGATCCCCTCACTGGACTTGGTGGCTCACGCTTGTAATCCCAACACTTTGGGAGGCTGCGGCCAGAGAGTTGCTTGAGCCCCAGATTTTGAGACCAGCCTGGGCAACAAAGTAAGACCCCATCTCTACAAAAAAATAAAATAATTAGGCAGGCTGGTGGCATAGCCGTATAATCCTAGATACTTGGCAAGCTGAGGTAGGAGGATCTGATCCCAGGAGTTGAACTGCAGTGAACAGTGATCATGCCACTACACTTCAGCCTGGGTGACAGAGTGAGACCCTGTCTCCAAAAACAACAGCAACAAAGAAAGAAAAGTATCCCATTCCATCTCACCATGCCTATACCCTCTCCCTTGCTTTTTCAGGTACACCGCAGTGGTCATGCCCGTTCACTACCAGCATGGCACGGGACAGAGCTCCTGTCGGCGCGTGACCCTCATGATCACGGCCGTCTGGGTACTGGCCTTTGCTGTGTCCTGCCCTCTTCTGTTTGGCTTTAATACCACAGGTAACGATGATGGCTTCACTTCTAGCATCCATGTGACTCACAGCACACCTGAATGACTGGCTGTGAGTTGTGCTCAGCCCTGAAATTTCTGACCCCCGGTCAGTGTACTTTGCAATTAAATGAGAATGCCACAGAATGCAAAGCTTTGGCCTTTGTGGGTTATGAATAAAATATAAAGCAAAACCTCATCAATTATTGGCATGGGGGTAAAGTTCTGCCCCAATTAATGAAAAGTCTGGCTCATCTTTATTTTGAAAGAAATGTCATTGTATTCATTTGCAGAAATGTACCAGTTAAAAAAACCAAGATATATATTAATAATTCAGGCAAGGTTTGCTAATAAAAAGATAACAATTCATAACAGACCTACAATGCAAATAACACATTATAAAAGTCTTATAGCAGGATATATACTTCTAACTTTTTACTCAATAAGAATAATTTCCAATTCTTCAGAACCAACCAGTATAGATTCCCAAATTGCTGGAGAGTGTATTTCCTATTTTCAATACAAAAATTCTGGGCCGGGCACGGTGGCTCACACCTGTAATCCCAGCATTTTGGGAGGCCGAGGCACGTGGATCACAAGGTCAGGAGATCAAGACCATCCTGGCTAACACGGTAAAACCCCGTCTCTACTAAAAATACAAAAAATTAGCCAGGCGTGGTGGCGGGCGCCTGTAGTCCCAGCTACTCAGGAGGCTGAGGCAGGAGAATGGCGTGAACCCAGCAGGCAGAGCTTGCAGTGAGCCGAGATTGCGCCACTGCAGTCCAGCCTGGGGGACAGTAAGACTCCGTCTCAAAAAAAAAAAAAAAAAATTCTGGGTATGTTGGTTGGCACATGGTACATCTACTAGATGGATGGATGGATGGATGGATGGATGGATGGATGGATGGATGGATGGACAATGTATATATCTGAAATGCTCAGGATTTTAAGCATGACACCAATACCTCAGATGAATCAGTGCCTTCTGTGTTTGTACCATGTCCATCTTTTAGCCTCAGTAATTTTTTTTCTTTCTTTTTTTTTTTTTTTTTGAGACCAAGTCTCGTTCTGTTGTCCAGACTGGAGTGCAATGGCACGATCTCGGCTCATTGCAACATCCACCTGCTGGGTTCAAGCAATTCTCCTGCCTCAGCCTCCCAAGTAGCTGAGATTATAGGAACCCACCACCATGCCCTACTAATTTTTGTATTTTTAATGGAAATGGGGTTTTACTGTGTTGGCCAGGCTGGTCTCGAACTCCTGACCTCAAGTGATCAGCCTGCCTCGGCCTCCCAAAGTGCTGAGCTTACAAGTGTGAGCCACCGCACTCGGCCAGCCTCAGTAATTTAATGTGTCGAATGAAAGGTATTAACACACACAATATCGTGATGGGTATTGACAATATACACTGAGTGCTGAGGGAAAACTGCTTGATAAGTGTTCCAGTGGTCATCTGGATTTCTCATTTTGTCCATTTGAATTGATTCATTCAATGCCTGTATTCCAGGTTTGTAAATTTCTAGTATATATGTACTAGCCACATAGCCATGTGCTTGTGTGTATGCAGATATTATATGTAACATATTATATATAAATATGGGCAAATTCTAACTTTAAGTAATCTTCCAAGTGTCATTTGCTGGACAATGATTTAGAAGTCAAAATATATTTTGGAAGATAGGTATAGGCTCTGGAGCAAGTAAAATCTAAGTCCAAACTCCAATCAAAGTCCAGACTTACTAGCTGTCTCTCCTTAAACAAGTTACTTAACTTCTCTGAGTTCCTCATTGGTAAACGTGGGATAAAATTACAGTAGAGTGTACACTTGAGTGAATTAAAATATGTGAACTTGATCTATGTATTTAGTTAAGACATTTTTAATATTTATTTTTATATATATGACCCCCTACAAATAAGCCCAGCAATTTTATCTCTAAAATTATATGTTCCATAGGAACTCTATGATATATGATATATTACTATATGTATCATACAACTTATTACTCTTCATGGTTATAATAAAACCATGTATATCTTTATATGTGATTCAGATTTTCAAAGCAAATTTGGAGTGTATATAATTTTCACTTTATTTGTTGACTTTAGAATCTAAGCCTACATATAACTCCACTCTACTTTCTTCATAGAGATTTTTGCAATTAAATGAGGATTAAATCGGGATAACATATGTAAATATGCCAAGCACGTACTACCTACTCAAGGCTGGCTTGTTTCTCTGCCACAGTAAAGGGTAACTAGCCAACTTATTAACAAATATTTGCCTGTTTAACCCAGGCTATTCTCAAATTATGGTGTTGTTATCTTTGCATTACTGTTTACCATTCATTACTTTGTTATGTTAATTGAATGACACTTTATACACACAAACACGTGTGTACATGCATACATTGCCCAGGACAAAGCAACATCCCTTAACACAGCTATAGAGGCTGACTCTGTGGCATAAAATATCATTTTTGGTGAATGCTAAATGTGCTTTATGGGTTAGTCTGATAACTAAGTCACCTTCTGTAACCTTATTTCTATATGAAAATGCATTCTCAGTTGGAATTTCTAGTGTGGAAAACTCACCACTGCTAGACCAAGGCACTGCTTACCCGCTAGCCAACAGCAAATCCCTGCCAACATCAGCTGGGCTGACTGTGGTTCCCCTGACTCATTCTTGGTGGAGGCAGTCTTATTCACTCTCACAGACACACCACACTGGAAACAGTTGAAACAGTCCCAAATTCTGACATTAGACCAAGTTCTCGGGTAATGTCGACATCCAGAGTGAAGAAGAATGATGAATTGCAGTGTTGTTGCCACCAGTGAGATCATTATTGTTCCAGAAACAAAATTCAGGAAAATTTTTTCCAAAAGGATTTTCAAATACAGAATTGAGAAGGCAGAAAAGGCCTGTGACAGCATGTGCGCTCTCACTTCTCCCTCGTCTCTCACAATCTCTCTCTCTTTTACTTTTAAGTGTATTAATAGCACTCTAGCAAGCCCTCCAGGTATTCACATACTGTGTCAAAGTGTCAGGTTCCATTGTAGGAGCTCAGTAAATATTAGCTGGTGTTATGGTTGCTATTATTTATTGGAAAAGTTTATACATCAAAATGTAACTATACATCTGCAGCCGTAAGAGTTCTGCTGATGGTTTTAGAGATCGGTTGCCGCTTCCTAGAACACAGTTAGGGGACTTAGTAAGCAAAGCTCAGGCCCAGCTGTCCTCCTCTGCCTCAAGCTGACCTTCACTGTACAGCTTCATTATCTTGATAGATGTGGGTTCCTGCAGCAATTCTCTCATTTATAAGGAAGTTCCCAAGTTCATTTGAAAGCCCGATATAAAGGACTCTTCTCAGTCATTTTTTTCTACTCCTTCTGTGAAAAATAGAGGGGGAGAGAGCAGGATCCTGCCAATAACACCTGATATTGGAAGCAGCTGGACTTCCACTAATAAGTGCAACACAAAAAAAGAACTTTTTGACAGAGCTCTTCTTTTTAGTGCCAAGGGCTGCCACATGCAATTGTGAATTATTAGAGAACATAAGATACAGAAAAGTTGAACTTCAGTCTCTTCCAACTTGGAGTTGCTCCTGTTCTCAGATAAAAGGTCAACATGAGGCAGGGTTTGGGTGAGAGAGTTCCGAGGCGGGGGCCTGGCTGGCCAGGGTTGCCTTAACTCCCAGCAGAGGCCCAGCAGTCTAGGCAATTTTCACATCATCAACAGACCCTGACACAGCAGGGCATGGTGTGCTGGTGCTAAAGGAAACTCTGAAGATCCCTGAATGAGCAGCCCAACCCTTTCATTGCATAGATAAGAAAAATAACTAGTATTTAAATTCCTGCTAAATCAGAAAGCTATTGTGTTATTTTTAAAAATCTAGAATAAATAAGCAAAGCGTGAATAAGCTGGTGATAAGGGTTTAAGAACCCTTTAAGGGAGGAGAAACTTAAAGTTAAGAAAACTGTATCAGCTGGCTTGATTTTCCTTTGAAAGAAGGAAATGGAGGGGTGCCATTTATTTGATTTCATCAATAGAACATCTCACCTAGTTTTCAGAGCACTGGAGCTAGGTTGGGGGAGGGGGAGCTTAGTTGCACAAGAAGTTAAAAGAATAGTAGAAGCACAAAGTTAAAAGAATAATAGGCTCATCCTAAACTCAGATTCATTGGCACCACATGTCTTTGGAATCAAGTTGGGGTCAAATCTGTCAATTAGTTTGAAGTTCATGAATCTTTCAAGTAAACCTGCTCTGAGCCAAGCTGTTCACATCATGGTGGGGCTCAGTTTCCCAAGACAGCCCGCAAAAGCCTCATAGACGCCTTTGTCTTTTTCACCCAGCACAGTGCTTTAAACGTAGTAGGTGCTCCATAAAATTTGTTGAATGAGTAAATAGATGACTCTTCATCATCATCTTTTCTTCCTGAAATGTTGAGATTAGTTGGGATAAGCATCTCTAATCTCAGAGGAGCAGTAACCTCCCCTCCCCCGGGGCAGGCCTTCTCCATTATCCTCTGGTCAGTGACTGCTCGTGTGTTTACATAAAATGCTCATCTGTACATTTTGCTCATTTATTTACTGTTTATGCATTTGCTCAATAACTATTGTGCTAACAAAACAACACTCTTGCCGTTAAATCATCAAAGCAAGGCACCTCATCTCCTGGGGAAGCCAGCTTCTGGGGGACCTTACTGCCTTCCTCACCTCTTTGGTACACAGCAGAGAAGATTTCAGAACTGCTGCTGTGTGGCGCATCACTGTGCCCTGCCAACAGGACACACACACACCCAGGGCCAGGCCTGCTGGGGGCTGGGGCAGGCCCTACTCATTGGCCACCCACCTCCAGTGCCACTCTGCCTGCAGTGGGGACATTCTGGAAGGGGCTGCAATGCTTGATCTAAGGAAGGGAAGCAGTTTGCTTAGATAGGGGAGGAAGGAAGGGATGGTAATGCAGGTTCTGTGATTATATGTGAGAGCCTTCGTTGACTAGGGACCCTGAAATAGCTATCTGCCCTCTCAACTCTCTCTTTCAATATTTTTAATGGAGAAATAAATGTTTGCACATAAAACATTCATAAAGTGTCATGAGATACATACATACTTATATGTAGGTCTCCCTTCTACCCCAGATTACTAAATTCTGCCATCTCCCTCCCTAGAAACAAACAATATTCTTGCAAGATTATGCTTGCAACAGTGTGCATGTCTGTATACATATATGTTTATGTATGTGTATGTGTATTCATTTTTGCACAAATAGAAGCATATCATACCCCCTTCTGACCCTGACTTTTTAGAAGAGATAGCTCATACATAAAATTTAGAGGTCAGCCTCCCAGAACCCAGAGTGGGTAGGAAAAGGTAGAAAGTTAGGTAGAGGGACCAACAGGGAATATCCGGGACACCAAAGATGACAACAAGATAGGCAGTGCCACCCCGCTGGTCTCTTCTCACACGTGAGACATGTGAAACGCCTCCTCATGATAGGCAGGATTTAAAACCACCTTGGTTTTAAATGGAAGGAAATGGAGGGGTGCCATTTATTTGAATTCATCAATAGAACATCTCACCTAGTTTTCAGAGCACTGGAGCTAGGTTGGGGGAGGGGGAGCTTAGTTGCACAAAAAGTTAAAAGAATAGTAGAATAGTCTGTTGTCAGACGCTGACAACAGAAAAGCTGACTTCAGAGAAGGGGCGGATCACCACCGACGTGGCTCCCTAGAGATTCTGAAAGACCATGCGCTGCCACCCCATCCCTCTTGCCAACTCCATCACCCCTGAATACCAGGAGATGCCAATTTGGTGAACTACGCAGAGCCTATGAGCCATTTTCTTTTTCTTTTTTTCTTTTTTCTATCTTTTTTTTTTTGTTTTCTGAGACAGGGTCTCGCTCTGTCATCCAGGCTGGAGTGCAGTGGCGTAATCTAGGCTCACTGCAACTTCCACCTCCTGGGTTAAAGTGATTCTCCTGCCTCAGCCTCCTGAGTAGCTGGGATTACAGGCTCGCACTACCACGCCCGGCTAATTTTTGTATTTTTAGTAGAGACGAGGTTTCACCATGTTGGTCAGGCTGGTCTTGAACTCCTGACCTTGTGATCCACCCTCGTCGGCCTCTCAAAGTGCCCTGGGATTACAGGCGTGAGTCACCGTGCCTGGCCCCTGTGAGCCATTTTCTAAAGGATGATGACACAGGCGTTGGTGAAACAACATGAAATTCACCTGAATTTTACCTCCTCTTCAGAGAACCAGAGAATTTAGGAGTAGCTTGTAAAGATTCTAGTGGCAAAGTTGTCATTAAAATGCATCACTGAGCACACTCTTTTCATTTTAGTTCTTAGCTTTTATTCCTTTCCTTCTCCCACAAACATTGTTCCCTGTAAGTCTGTCTCCAAATTTCCATTCCAGATGATACCTTCCCTTTCAGTTCAAAAAGCTCAGGGAGAGAAATAATAAATAAATATAAATAATAGCTATCATTTATTCTCATTAATTCTCACAACTACTATAAAATATTTCTATCTTTTTTTTTTTTTTTTTTACAGATAATAAAACTGAAGCTTTCCATATTTGAGAAACATGTCGGCTGGGCGCAGTGGCTCACGCCTGTAATCCCAGCACTCTGGGAGGCCAAGGCGGGTGGATCACCTGAGGTCAGGAATTTAAGACTAGCCTGACCAACATGGAAAAACCCTGTCTCTTCTAAAAATACAAAAAAAATTAGCTGGGCATGGTGGCCCATGCCTGTAATCCCAGCTACTCGGGAGGCTGAGGCAGGAGAATCGCTTGAACCTGGGAGGTAGAGGTTGCGGTGAGCTGAGATCGAGCCACTGCATTCCAGCCCGGGCAACAAGAGCGAAATTCCATCTAAATAAATAAATAAATAAATAAATAAATAAATGAAACGTGTCCAAGATCACACAGTTAATAAATAGCAGACCTGAATCTCACACTTAGGGTTCTCTGACTTCCACCTACCTCAGAAAACCAAGAAGCAGAATAAGAAGCCTGCATGGCCACTGCCCTCTCCCCACCAGCCCACACCTAAGGCTTCATCTTCCAAGGCCAACTTTGGGGTTGGAGAATCCCCAACCCATTATGAAGACTGGCTGGGTGTACCAACAGTTGTGCTGACAGTGCTGGATGAAGTACAGATGTTCCATGTCACAATAGTAAAGGGTGATGGGGAGTTAAAACTACAGAAAGAACATTGGCTTGGGCATAAAACTGGCTGCAGGAACATATTTTTCAAGTGCAACCTCGGGCTACTTACTGAACCTCTCTGAGTTTTAGTCTGCTCATCTGAGAAGAGAGACGGTAATGGCACCTGCCTCATATAATATTGCCATAATTATTAGGTAGGATAAGGTGTACAAAGCTCTTGGCTCATCGCCTGACAGATATTAGTTTGCTTTTCTTTTCTTTTTCAAGATGGGGCACGTTTCAGGCCCATCTTGGGCCTTGGAGGAATCTCAGTATCTGCTATGAAGAAGGCAAAGCTACAGGGACCTCCCAAGGAGAAATGGCAGGAACATTTCAGGACATAAAGCAGGGACAAAGATCCTTCTAAATGCACATTCTCCATGTCACAATATCATTACCTGCCTTTTCCCCATCCCATCTCTAACAAGTGCTGGGATTCCCTGAAAAATCAAATCTCTGTCTTGTATTCAGCTACCACCTGCCCTCCATCCCAGATTCAAAATTGGAGAACTGGCATTCTCAGCAAATAAGGCTTCTTCCTTTCATTGCATTCCAACAATTCTCGAATGCCTCCACACCAGCAGGCCCTTTTCTGGGGGCTGCATCCCTCCTGGGAGCCTCTGCCCTGTTGCCCTGTAATGCTCTCCCCAGCCTCCCAGGCTGCATGTCTCTGTGTGACACTTGTGACATCCCATGAAAGGGATCATCTATCTAGACTGTTTGCTCCCTTGAGAGCAGACATGGTGTCTCACTCATCTGTGTAGCCCCAGTGTCTGGAACATGATTGTTGGTAAATTTTCTTTTTAAGTAAACTATGAGAAACTCAAAGATGAATTAGACCTTCTACCCTCACTGACCTGACAGTATACGTATCTGAGACTGCATCCTCCCCACCTGCTGTGCAGCAGAAGGTGCGGGCACCATGTGTGACATGGGGCCGTGTTTTACCCTCCCTACTGAGTTCTGATACTTGCTAACTGCTTTACCTTCCCCCTTCTCATCCACAGGGGACCCCACTGTCTGCTCCATCTCCAACCCTGATTTTGTCATCTACTCTTCAGTGGTGTCCTTCTACTTGCCCTTTGGAGTGACCGTCCTTGTCTATGCCAGAATCTATGTGGTGTTAAAACAAAGGAGACGGAAAAGGATCCTCACTCGACAGAACAGTCAGTGCAACAGTGTCAGGCCTGGCTTCCCTCAACAAGTAAGCACCCTGGAGTGGGTAGAGGGAAGACAACACACAATCTCCTGACTTCCCAGCCTGTGTCCAGCAGTGCACGATTTTGCCGTTTAGCTACATTGGAGACACAAATCTGACACCCACTTTGTAATCTGCTAATATTGGCTGTGCTTTGAAGGTAGGAAACCCAATCTCAAGAAAACACTGATAGTTGTCTCTAGAGCCTACCTTACCTGGCAAAGTGATTGGATAGCTCCTGGGCTTGTTCTGCTTCCCTTCAAAGTCTTTCATTTTCCCCAAATGGGCAGCAGTTCAGATGTCCCACAGGTTTTGAAGTTTAAGTGCAGCAGTTGTACCTTGCACTGCTGGTGGGTTCCCAGAACTGACTTTTTGTCTAAAACACTCATCCCAAGGATCATTGGGGTCCATCAAAACTTTTTTTCCTTACTGGATCTGTCCCTGTGTCAAGGAACTGACAAGCCGGTGGGATATGGTGCTGATAAGGCATTTTACTGGCTCTTTCTAGGTTCTGAAAAGAAATATCATTGCCTCTGCGATGACCTTCCAATTTCTAGGGCTTTAATTTCTCCTTACCCCATTGCCTGGCACTTAGTAGCTTTCCCATGATGTACTTGAAGCATGAATGGATATGTACCGATCACTTGAAATCTACTAGGGAAGGGACAGTGGTAACATTAAACAGCCTCTGCCTTCATGGAGCTTAGAATCTAGACAAGCAAATAAAGCACCCCTCCACTCAAAGTTAATGAAGAGCCCAGAGCTGAATAGGATGTTTGCCAAATGTGAGGTGAAGACAATTAAGCACTCAATTATGAAGTGCTCTGGAGGCTAATAGAAGAGAAAAACCAATATGCTTAGTATATGGTTTGGCTATGTCCCCACCCAAATCTCATCTCAAATTGTAGCTCCCACAATTCTCACGTGTCATGGGAGGGACCCAGTGGGAGGTAATTGAATGATAGGGGTGGGTCTTTCCCCTACTGTTCTCATGATAGTGAATAAGTCTCACGAGATCTGATGGTTTTATGAGGAGGAGTTTCCCCACACAAATTTTCTCTTGTCTGCTGCCATGTAAGACATGCCCTTCACCTTCCACTATGATTGTGAGGCCTCCCCAGCCACATGGAACTGTGAATCCATTAAACTTATTTTTCTTTATAAACTACCCAGTCTCAGATATGTCTTTATTAGCAGCATGAAAATAGATTAATACACTCAGGAAAGGGCTCCATAGACAGAGTAAGAATTGAGTTTGATCTTGAAGGCAGATCCGATTTGGATGTCTAGATTAATCTTTGATGACCTAGATAATCTTTTTTTTTTTTTTTTTTTTTTGAGACAGAGTCTCGCTCTGTCACCCCAACTAGAGTGCAGTGGCATGATGTCAGCTCACTGCAGCCTGTGCCTACTGGGTTCAAGACATTCTCGTGCCTCTGTCTCCTGAGTAGCTGGGATTGCAGGTGCCCACCAACACATCTGGCTAATTTTTATATTTTTAGTAGAGACAGGGTTTTGCCATGTTGGCTAGGCTGGTCTCTAACACCTGGCCTCAAATGATCTGCCCACCTCAACCTCTCCAAGTGCTAGGATTACAGGCATAAGCGCCTGGCCTGATGACTTAGATTATCTTTGATGACCTCTTAAGGTCTTTGATGATGTCAAAAGTATGAATGAAGGCCAGACTCTTAAGTTGAAGTCCCAAGGCTTGAGTGAAACAAGACTATTAATCCCCATGAAACAGAAGATCAAGACCCAAGGCTGAGGATATGAAAGTATTGCATTCAAAATATTATTATGTCACATGGCTACCTATAACATGGCTAGACCCACAACTGACTGTTCCTCCTTCAACCCCCTACCCCTAGTCTTCTTGTCTGCAGCTGCACCCCATTCGGCAGTTTTCAGTAAGGGCCCAATTTCCATCAGATGCCACAGGAAAAATGGTAAGTGGGCCATGTCTTTGATCATAGAGAAAGAATAAGAGACCTTTTGCCACAATACTGGCTTATCTTGATTCTACTCTCACCCCAGAATGAAACCTTGCCCTGATTCCCACACATATATCTATAAGACAAGATCTGAAATGCCTCCTAATTTAAGCTGCAGAATAGAATTCATCAGATGATAATTCAGAAAGCATATGACTATTGGGCTTGACCTTAGTGACTGGAGCCAATGACTCTTGCACACAGTGTGACAATGCCATCCAAGGCCACCTGCATTAGAGGAAACAGACGTCAAGGGAACACACATGGGCAGAGCAAAAACCAGGCAGAGAAAGGAAAATTCCAAGTGCCATATTTACTACTGAATGTGGGAAAAACGAAGACAATTTCATGGTCACCATTAGTCTTGTTCTTGCAATTCAAGCCAGGCCTGCCTCGCCCAGCTAGCAGAGTGCAGAATGGAATCTGGAGGTGTTAGATATAAGAACAGTATTCCTCTCTCTGAATTCCACATTAGAAATAAAACTTCAAAACTTTGTAATCATTAAGGTCTGAGCTTTGTTCAATCTCGGTATAGTTAATGACTTTTTACACAGGCCTGGTATAGTAATTGGAGATAATCATTTTAAATGATAATAGCTATGCAGCTCAAAGTTGCCTATGGCTGATCCAAGGTCTGAGGAGGCTTCAAGGCCAAAAGGAGGAAAAATATTGAATACAAACGAGAGATGGGACAGCCAAGAGGCTGGCATTTCCAAGAGTGTGGAGAATTAGGTTCTGTCCTGCCATCTGGGAGTGGAGGACTCTGCCAGCCAGACCCAGAGGAATCCAGTGTTTCCTCATGTCAGTCATGGAAGTAGTGAACAGGTTTTGCACAGAGCTGAAAAATACACTCACCAATATATAATCTTGGAAGAATCATTTTCCTACTATAGGACTGAATTTCCATATCTGTAAAATGGAAACAGGGTATACTAGATCAATGTTTTCAAATCTGAGTTTTTTTTGTTTTTTTGTTTTTTGTTTTTTGAGACAGAGTCTCACTCTGTTCCCCAGGCTGGAGTGCAGTGGTGTGATCACAGCTCACTGCAGCCTTGAACTCTTGGGCTCAAGTAATCCTCTCATCTCATCCACTACACCCAGCTAAATATGGGATTTCTTAGGCAATCCCAAGAATTTGTTTCCCATCCCCTAGTTTTAGAAATAATGCGTTAGAAGTCAAATATTGTCACTTTCAGAAGATCAGTAGGTGCCAGTTTAATTATAAACATAATCTTGGGGCCGGGCATGGTGGCTCATGCCTGTAATCCCAGCACTTTGGGAGGCCGAGGCGGGCACATCACAAGGTCAGGAGTTTGAGACCAGCCTGACCAACATGGTGAAACCCCGACTCTACTTAAAAAAATACAAAAATTAGCTGGGCGTAGTGGCATGCACCTATAATCCCAGCTACTCAGGAGGCTGAGGCACAAGAATCACTCGAACCCGGGAAGCAGAGGTCGCAGTGAGCTGAGATTGCACCACTACACTCCAGCCTGGGCGACAGAGGGAGACTCCATCTCAAAAACAAAAAAAAAAAACACAAAAAACAAAACAACACCAAAAAAAAAAAACACACCATAATCTCGATTGTAAATAGGCATTCAGATAAAATGAGATATGCTTATTTTAATTATTAGAAAATGCCATCAAAATAAAACCAAAAAATTTTAAATACATATTCTCTTAACTTGAGGTAATGTTAAGTGAAATAAGCCAGACATAGAAAGACAAATATCACATGTTCTCAATCACCTATGGGAGCTTTAAAAAAAGTGGTTATCATGAAAATAGAGAGTAGATTCATGGTTACCAGAGGCTAGGAAGGAGATGGGGGAAGGGGCAAGGAAGAGAGATGGATTCATGGGTATAAACATACAATTAAATAGAAGGAACAAATTCTAGTGTCTAATAGCACAGTAGGGTGACTATACTTAACAGCAGTTATTTTATATTTCAGAACACCTAGAAGAAAAGATTTGAAATGCTCCCAACAGAAAGAAATGGTAATTGTTTGAAGCCATGACTAGCCTGATTTGATCATTACACATTGTATGCATGTATCAAAATATTGCATTTACCCCATAAATATGTAAAAGCATTATATATGAATTTTTAAAATCTTCAAAAAAGATGTATATTATTCTAGAATTCCTAAGAATACCTCTGTGGAGTACAATTTTTAAAAAAAACTCTAGGCCAGGCATGGTGGCTCATGCTTGTAATCCAAGCACTTTGGGAGGCTGAGGCGGGTAGATCACTTGGGGTCAGTAGTTCAAGACTAGCCTGGCCAAAATAGTGAAAACCCATCTCTACTAAAAATACAAAAATTAGCCAGGTGTGGTGGTGGGTACCTGTAATCCCAGCTACTAAGGAGGCTGAGGCAGGAAAATCACTTGAAGCTGGGAGGCAGAGGTTGCAATGAGCCGAGATCATGCCACTGCACTCCAGCCTGGGTGACAGAGTGAGACTTTGTCTCAGTAAATAAATAAATAAATAAATAAATAAATAAATATTTTAAAAACCTAAATTGGCTGGGTATGGTAGCTCACACCTGTAATCCCAACACTTTTGAAGGCCAAGACAGGAGGATCACTTAAGCCCAGGAATTTGAGACCGGCCTGGCCAACATAGCAAGAACTAATCTCTACTAAAAATAATAAATAAATAACACTAAATCATCTTGAAGACGCCTTGCATTCATTCATTCATTCTGAGTATGTACAATGTGCCAGCTCTGTGTATCTAGAAAACTGCTTCCTTGAACTAAGGAAACCAAAGTGAGGGGTTTTGGTTGCTGACACTGACTAACTTATGTAGAAAACAGATTTACTGGAGAGCTGTCAGGTGGCTCACAGGCTCAATGAGAAGGCTGAAGAAGAGCTTCAGAAAGATGCTTTTCATGCCTAAGAAATTATCTGGTTAGAAGACCTAGGACACTGGACATTGAATGTCACCACTACTGGAGGAGTTCTGAAGTCTCCCTGCTTTACAAGTTCCAGTTCAAAGTCTTAGCTGTGAATCTGCAGTTGACTGGGCTTGGTGCACGTGCCTGAGTTCTAGCTGCGTGGGGATGGAGGTGTGAAGTGAATATCTGGCTTTTACGGCATCAGTAAGGGGAGTTGAGGAGTTGAGTTCTGCCTCCTGTTCAAGACTTGACACAAGAGTTTGATTCTTCAAACATGAAAAGAAGTTCAAGTTGGGCACACACACATCTCCCCATCCATACCAGAAAAATTAACATACTTCAGTTTTCCATTCTCGGAGGCTACTCATCCAAAACCCATTTTTCCCTATTTCTTTTCTGTTTTACAAATGAAGCTCAGAGATATTAAATTAACTTGCCTAAAGATACATCTACTAAGTAAGAAAGCTGAGAAGAAAATCCTGGGCTTTCTTTTTTTAACTTTCTGTAATGGAAGTTTTCAAAAATAAAAAAGTAGAAAGACAAATATAACAAACCCCCAGTAGCCATCAGGCAGCCTTAGTAGTGATCAACTCGTGGCCAATCTTATTTCATCTACAATCCCACCTATGTTCACACATCCCCACTGGATTGCTATGAAGCAAATCCTAAACACCATGTTATTTCAAACCAAAATATTTCTGCAAGATCCTCTAAAGAATTCAGAACATTGGCCGGGTGCAGTGGCTCACGCCTGTAATCCCAGGACTTTGGGAGGCCAAGGCGGGCGGATCACCTGAGGTTAGGAGTTTGCAACCAGCCTGACCAACATAGAGAAACCCATCTCTACTAAAAACACAAAATTAGCTGGGCATGATGGCACATGCCTGTAATTCCAGCTACTTGGGAGGCTGAGGCAGGAGAATCTCTTGAACCCAGGAGGTGGAGGTTGCGGTGAGCCGAGATCGTGCCACTGCACTCCAGCCTGCGCAACAAGAGTGAAAGTCCGTCCCAAAAAAAAAAAAAAAAGAATACAGACTGTTTTATAAGACACACAACCATAATACCACATTACATTTAAAAATTAATAATAGTTTTCTAATATCACTAAATGTCCAATTGATGTTCAAATTTCCCCAATTATCTTGTAAATTATTTTACAGTTGGTTTGTTTGAATCACAATTCAAATAAGGCACATATTTTGCAACTGTTAAGTATTGTCATTGTTGTTGTTAAAATTTATCTGTTGAAGAAACTGAGTCATTTGTCTTGTGGAGTTTCCCACACTCCACATTTTGGGGCTTATGTCATAGCAGTGTCACTTAATCTGTTTCTCTGTATCACCAGGTCATTCTAACTCAAAAAGGCCAGACTACAATTCTGTGCTACCCTGCTCAAGGGGCTGTTGTGATTATCAAATGTTCTATATGTGGTGGGTGCTGCTTTTTTTTTTAACTTTAAGTTCTGGGGTACGTGTGCTGAACGTGCAGGTTTGTTCATAGGTATACATGCGCCATTGTGGTTTGCTGAACCTATCAACCTATCATCTAGGTTTTAAGCTCTGCATGCATTAGGAAGATTAAGGAAATAAAATTTTACCTTTAGACCTGACAACTAAAAAGCACCCACCATAGTCATCAGAGTGAACAGGCAAACCTACAAAACAAGAGAAAATTTCTTGGGCAATCTAATCCCATCTGACAAATGGTCTAATATCCAATCTACAAAGGAAAACTTAACAAATTTGCAAGAAAAGTAAACAACCCTTCTTAAAAAGTGGAAGAGAATATGACACAGACACTTCTCAAATAAGGAAAGACTTTATGGCACCATAATAAACTATGAAAAAAGCCAAATCATTCCACTGGTTCATTAGATAAAATGCAAAACAAAACCACCAATGAGACTTAACCATCTCACACCAGTTAGAATGGCTGAATCATAAAGATCTGGGGAAACAAACAGATGCTGGTGGAGGATGAGATAAAAATCAGGGCCAAACCTTTTACACCTGTGGTTGGGAGTGTAATAGTCAAACCATTGTGGCGACAGTGGAGCGATTTCCCTCACGGGATCCTAGAACCCAGAAATACCATTTGACCTAGCATCCCATTACTGGGTATATATACCCAAAGGATTTATATAATCATCTACTGTAAAGACACATTGCACACATAGTTTATTGCCAGCACTATTTACAGAGTACCAAAGACCTTGGAACCAACCCAAATGCCCATCAATGATAGACTGGATAAAGAAAATGTGGCACATATTACACACCAAGAATACTATGCCAATCCATAAAAAAGAA